GGACTCCAGGATCATGACCTGAGCCGAAGGCAGTCGCTTAACCAACTGAGCCACCCAGGCGCCCAGAAATAAATGACTATAATCATGAAACTATATAAATTCCATTATCTCCGTTTGGTGTAAATGAATATTCATATGTTTAACTGCAGAAATGTTAATGTGTTTAATTACGGAATGGTCTCTAACACCGAGGTTATCTCTAAATACTATTTTCTAAATAGGAACCACTAAAAGGAACCAATCTCCTTAGAGAAATAACTGATTCCAGGTCTGGAAAACATCATGTGCCAGAAAACAAAGAAACCATCAAAAACTAATGGGTGATATCAAAAGAATACAGAAACCAACTTGAAGGGGCTCCCATTGCCCTAGGTTGGAGCAATTTGGACATTAAGAATAAATGCTGATGGCAACTGATTTAAATATGTCAACTATATAAAAATAACTCCAATAATACAACAAGGATCAACTTCTTTTCCTAAACCTGGGAGTGTTAATCTTTCTAAAATCATGACATCTGTTTCTGAATGTTAAGACTTACTGCCTTCCTTTGAATTCTTCAAGTACATTTAGCATTTACCCCACAATGATTTCTCTCAAATGAGAAAACAGTTGTCACTCAAATAAAGGCCACAATGCTATTTTAGGCTGTTTATCTTCTGGATGCACACCTAAATATATGTGTAGATATGTGTACTTGTCATATATATTCTTGTGAACATGTAAATATCTACACACATATACATCACAATACTGTATGGCATATATTCCCATGTTCTTGTTCTTCTGTTAATAATAGTTGCAAACTCTATAAATAACCTGCTTTACGTCTGCCTTCAGCTCAGGGTATGATCCCAGGGTCCTGTAGGGATCGAGCCCTACATCGGGCTCCCTGCTCCGCGGAAAGCCTGCTTCTCCCTCTCCCACTCCCCCTGCTTGTGTTCCTGCTCTCACTATCTCTCTCTATCAAATAAATAAATAAAATCTTTAAAAATAAATAAATAAATAACCTGCTTTATCAAATATGTAAACTGTTCCCAGTTTTTATTTTATTACAAATGAAGCTGTGATGAAATTCCTTTCACATAAATCTTTATGTCCATCTCTACGTCCTTAAAATGAATTAGATGTAGTCTTGCTTGTATATAAACGCTTATGAAGACCTTGAAAAATATCACCAAATTGTCTCTCCAGAGAAGTAGTACCAATTAACACTCTAACAATGTATGAGTGCACCCAATATACCCAATCCTTGACATTTTAATTTTTTAAATCTTTGCCAATTTAATGGGGGAAGGTAACAACTATATTTTAATTGTATCTCTTGTTAACAAACGAAAAAAAATTTTTTTCATGTTTCTTGGCTATCTGTATTTTATTTTTTATAAGTTGCATTTTCATTGTTTTCCATATTTTGCCAGTTGGATTATAAAATCTCTTTGTATGCATTTTTTTATGATTTTATTGATTGATTTAAGAGAGAGAAAGAGAGAGCAAGCAGGGGAGGGAGAGAAACAAGCAGACTCCTAGCTGAGTGCTGAGCAATCTCACAACCCCAAGATCAGGACCTGAGCCAAAATCAAAAGTTGGATGCCAACCAACTGAGCCACCCAGGCGCCCCTCCTTGTATATATTTTTTTATCTGTCATATGCTTCAAATACTTGTCCAAACTTGTCAAATAACCATTTTGCTCTGTTTCTGTTATGTTTTATAGTACAGAAATTCTTTTTCATTTTCATGAGTTAATCTAGAAATCAAGGCAGCAACAATTTAGAGATTTGAACTTTGAAGTCAGAAACTGGACTGAAAATCTGGCTTAAACACTTAACAGATGTGTAACCATGGGCAAACTACTTAATTTCTCTGAGACTTAGTAGTTTTCTTAGCTGTAAAATGGGGAAAACACCACATACTACACAGTTGTTATGAGGATTATACTCATTCATTTCTTCATTCATTCATTTATAGTTTCCCATCATGTCTCCCAGGTAAAGAATAAGCACTCATTAATAGCAGCAGGTACTATTATCACTAACAGAGAACACATTTTAATTTTTGACAGCAGCTCTCAAATTTAAGTGTGCATAAAAAGTCACCTAAGCCCCTTGCTTAAAAAAAATAAAAAAACAAAAAACTGGATTCCTAGGCTTCAGCCCGAGTTTTTGATTATGTAGTTCCAGGATGAGGCCCTGAAACAAACATTTGTAATAAGCGTCCTCAGGTCATTCTGATTCAAGGAGTCCAGGGACACTTCTAAAGAAATATTTATGGATTCTGCTTTTGGTGATAGAATTGAAATATCCTATCTTACCCCAGAATTAATGAATACTGACCTATATTTTCTCCTATATGCTTATGGGTCCTTTTAAAAATATTTAATCCGGGCACCTGGGTGGCTCAGATGGTTAAGCGTCTGCCTTCGGCTCAGGTCATGATCCCAGGGTCTCTGTCAAATAAATAAATAAAATCTAAAAAAATAAATAAATTAAATAAATAAATAAATAAATAACGCACTCCAATGGCAGCCAACAGAAGACAGAGAAGGAGCAACAATGAAGGCAAGAAAAACAGTAAGGAAGCCATCCCAGTAATTTATGTGTGAGATAAGGGTCTGAATGACAGGGTCAAAGTGATAGGGATAATGAGGGGAGGCAGACTGAAGAGACATTTAAGGCAGAATCTCCAATCTGAGGGGTGAATGACTATCAACACACAGAGGAAAGACATAAAAGGAGCCCTCTGGTGACTAAGTGGGCAGTGGAAGCATTTACTAGCTTAGGAAGTACAGGAGTTTACATCAGTCTTATAGGCAAGGAAATAAGTACAGTTGGTGATGATGAGTTTAAGGTTCTTTTGGGACTTAAAAGTATTTGGAAAAAACAGCAAAGAGCTTCAAAGACAGGTGTGGCTGGAACTGCAGATTAAAGAATAATCAACACATAGTGAACTATGGAAGAAGTCTGTGGTATAGATAAGATCACTAAGAATGGGTATGTAAAATAAGAGAAGAAAATTAAGTAAGGGGGGAAACTATTATAAGTCTCGAGAATAAGTAAGGGGGAAACTATTTATAAAAAAGACAGAATAAACTGCGATGGGGTCAAGAAAACAAAGAGAACATGGAGTCATGTACAACAAAAAAAGAAAACGTTTCAAGACATGACTGTTCAACTGTTTAAATGACACAGAATAATTAGAAGTGAAAGTCACTCTTTGTTTAAGAGTGCACGGGGAGGACTACAGATTGCAATGTAGTGAATGGTAATAAGTGAATTCAAGTATCCATCTTTCAAAAAATCAGCTGGGAAGAGGAAGGGGGAAATATAAAACAAGAAAGGTGTGGGATTTGGGGGGGGGGGTTGGTTATCATTTAATATGAGAGACTTAGATATGTTTATAGGCCGAGAAGGACCTGGTTAAATCACAGAGGTTGACAATAACTGATAACAAGGATACAACTGAAATAAAGTTTCTAAAGAAGAGATAAAAAACAGAGATCAACCTTGAACAGGAAAAGACACCCCTTAGAAATAAATGACTATATATATATATTTTTTAAAGATTTTATTTATTTATTTGAGAGAGAGAGAATGAGCGAC